GGGAAAGGGAAGGGAAGGAAAAGGAAAGGAAAGGAGAATGGAAGGGAGGGAAAGGGAAGGGAAGGAAAAGGAAAGGGAAGGGAGGGAAAGGGAAGGAAAGGAAAGGAAGGAAAGAAAAGGGAAATTGGAATTGGGAAAAAGGAAAAGGAAGGGAAAAAGGGATTGGAATAGGAAGAAAGCGGAAAGGGGTAGAATTGGACGAAGGGAAAGAAGAAAGGGGAAGGGAAGGAAAGGAAAGCTGGAAAGGAAAGGGTGACGAAGAGAGGGAAAGTAGGAAGGATTGAGAGAAGGAAGGGTGGAGAAGAAAAAAAGGGAAGGAAGGAAGAAGGAAAGAGCGATGGAAGGAAGGATAGAGGGAAGAAAGAAAGGGAAGGATCGATGGATGGATAGAAGGAAGGAAGGTCAGAGCAGGAAGGAAAAAAGAGGGAGAGAACAAGGGAGAGAGAAAAGAAAGAAAGAAAGAAAGAAAGAAAGAAAGAAATTTTCCGAGCAAACACAAATCTTGCAAAGCCCAGCTTCCATACCCCAAAAACATGAATTAAATTAAGTCCCAACTAGGGGCATACATTTAGTCCTCGGCTTAAATGACCACAACTCAGTCCCAATTTTTTACAGCTCAGCAAAACATTTGTTAAGTGAAATTTGTCCCATTTTACGACCTTTCTTGCCCCTGTTGTTAAGTGAGTCCCCTTCAGTTCATAAAATCACGTGGTCGTTAAGTGAAACTGGCTTCCCCATGGACTTTGCTGATCAGAAGGTCGTAAAAGGGCATCGCCTGATCCCGGGGAAACTATGACCTCATAAATAGGAGTCACTTTCCAACCCTCACAATTTTCACCCTGGGGAGGCTGCAAAAGTTATAAGTGCGGGGGAAAAGGTCACAAGTCGCTGTTTTCAATCCCATTATAACTTTGAACAGTCACTAAACAAGTGGCTGTAAGTCGATGGCTGCCTGCATAGTGTTTTTTCCAGCCGATCAACCAGGTTCAAGCGAGCGTCCCGAGATCCTTTTCGTTGGACATTCAGAGCTTCACGGTCTCTTTTTCTCTTCCGTAGAACCCATGTCAGCCCTGCCCGGCTACCCAGGAGGAAGAGGAGGAGGAAGTAAGGGTCTTAACCCTCCCCTTGCAAGCCCACCATGCAATGGAGAAGATGGAAGAATTTGTCTACAAGGTAATCCGCCGGTTGTCTGAAACGGAGACCGGTTCCTCGTCCGGAGGAAGGAGAGGGTCATGCTCCCACAGGAATCGGCGAACATTTCTCGCGAGAAACGAGAGTTGCCTCATGAGAAAAAATTGAGCACAGTCGGCATCAAGGGAGTGGGGGGGAATAAAAACTTCCACTAAAGACTTTACATGCCCGAGAAACGCCAGACTCGCTTCCGTATAAGCCGTGCAATAGGCTGGGGGTGGGGGGGTGGGAATTGATTTATCCTGCCCTGGTGCATGGCAGGGACGGCACCGTCCCGAGAGTCCTCGATTTACAACAGAGCCTCAAAATGTTCCGTTGCTGAGCAAGACAATTGCGAAAGGAGCTTTGCCCGTGTTAGCACCTTGTTGTGGGAATCATCACCGTTGTTATACGAGCGTTGCCCCCTCTTACACCCGTCCTTGCCATGGTTGTTGAGTGAATCACCTGCAGTTCCTAACTACATCCCACGTCATATGTTTGAACTGGTTGTTGAACGTCCAAATTCTGATCACGGGGAGGCTGCAACGGTCGTTAAGTGAGAAAAACGGTCCTGGGTCAATTTTTTTCAGTGCCATTGTAACTTTGCTCACTGAGTGATAGTAACTCGAAGGCTAGTCACTAAATGAACGTAAGTCCTTGACTTACGATGGTTCATTTAGTGACCATTCAAAGTTCCGATAGCACTGAAAACTAACAAGTTTTTTTACTCCAAACAACCGATCCCCATGGTCATGTGGTTTTACATTCAGGTGCTTGACAACCGGTTCATATTTATGACAGTAGTGCTCTCCCAGGGTGTCCTGCTTTGTGTCCTTTTGATGAGTCAATCCTGATTCACTTAACGACCATGTGACTCATTGAACACCTTCACTTAAGAACCGTGGCAAGAAAAGTCGTACAACTCACTTCAGGAACATCTTGCTTAGCAACATAAATCCCAGGCTCCATTTTGGTCATAAACTGAGGACTCCATCTTTTGGTTGCACGATTGTCTCTCTTTTTGGGGCAAATTTGATAGTGGTCCCTCAGTGGGATTCGGGGGAGGAGTCTGACTCTGGGCCTGTTGCTCAGCTTTTCCTAAAGAGCTGGGCCAACGCCACCCCTATGAGGTAGGCCAAGCTGAGTGGGCTCGTTGAAAATAACCAAGTTTTTGGTAGACAGAGTTAGATCCAAGAGGAGAATACGGGAGGCAAAGATAACAATTAAGGTACTGATGAGGCCAAGAGAGGATGGATAGAAAAAAGAAAGGGGGAAGAAAAAAAAGATTCTTTAAGAACATATTCAAACAAAAACATGTGCATTAACATTAAAATTATATAGAGTGGATAATTATTTTATATGTACTGTAATAGGTACTAAGATAATATTTAATACAAATAGATATGAAGAGTGAAATATGGGAATTATGAATAAGAACAAAACATCTATTGGAAAATTAAAGAATGAACGATGGTATGATGAACATGTCGAAATAATATCATGATTAGCAGTGAAATAATAAAATTAAGAATAATATAAACATTCACAATAAAATTAAACAATGAGTAATTAGATAATGAAAGGATATATTTTAAAAATAAGCATGTATACGAATAGTAGAATTGTATGGATTGGATGAATGGAAGGAATACGAATAGATTTACTCTTATCTGTTTAAATGATATTGGGATTGAGATTAGAATTGTATATTGAAACCCTGAACAATGAAAGAATGAAGGATGGAATATTTAATATATACAGGTGTGAAGGGCTAAATAAGGGAAATGGGAATAATAAAGCAGGTGGAAGATGGAAAACATAAAAGAAACCTCTTTGAATACTACAGCGACAGGAATAAAAGTTAGAATAGCAATCCGAGGGGAACAACAATATACATATTTTAATGTAACAAGATATATGTAATAATTATTGTGGTTCGCTTGCAGCCGGCAGCAGAATCAGACAGTGGGGAAGAATGGGAACTAGTCCAGGAGTCTGGAGAGGACTCAGACGAGGGTCCTGCGTCCAATGCAGAGATGAGGCTGAGACCACCTGGGAGTGGGGTGCTGCCTCTGGAGCCTCCGGAGTCTGGCAGCAGCGAGGCAGAAGACCCAGGGGAGCCTGTTCTCAGTGCGCGTGTGCACAGAGCTGCCAGAAGGCGAGAGCAGCTGAGACAAAAGGGGCGACTCGGGAGTAAGGCTGGGAGGTGATTGCCCCTCCCATAAAAGTCAGGCCAAGATGATGAAACCTTTGCAGGAAGCAAAGTCGTTTGATCGGCTGCGAGTCCTCCTTGAAGCTCTCTGTACTTTGGATGGTTTTTTTCTTGTACTTTGGTTGGTTTCTTTTCTACTTAATTGGATACTTCTATTTTTGGCAGCCTTCCACAGCACTGGAAAGCATGTGCTTATCTTGGGGGACTGTTTAAGATTAATTCTGGGTGGGAATGAAAGTAATTCCCAGCATTGCAATAAAATAGCTTTTACTTTTAAAACAAGTTTGTGATTAATTACAATTGACGAAGCCTGGGTCAGAACAATAATAAGAGGGAGGTTTTGAAATTGAATGGCAGTAGTAGGAGATAACATTTAAATAGGAGGCAATGAAAATGAAATTTAATAACTATGAATAATAATATGTTTATTTGTACTAAAATGTATGATAGCCAAGTATCAGTCACGCTGTTCATGCATTGATATGTATAAGCAATTGAAAATTAAAAAAATGACCCCCCCTCCAAAAAATAATAATAATAAATTAAGTTTTTTTGTCTGCCTCGCAGGTCTGGGAAGGGCGATGGCGGGTCATCCCCTACGACGTCTTGCCCGATTGGCTGAAGGACAACGACTACCTGCTTCACGGACACCGCCCGCCCATGCCCTCCTTCCGCGCGTGCTTCAAAAGCATCTTTCGCATCCACACCGAGACCGGCAACATCTGGACCCACCTGCTCGGTGAAGCCGACCGTCGGTTCCAAAAAGCGAGGACTAAATGAAATACTGCTGACTGGTGCAACCAGATCACTAGAACCAGTGCGAATTGGCAGCATACTGGCTGGGACCGAAGTTCAAATCAAAGGCCTTTTCATCTGGCCTGAAGAAGAAACGAGAAAGAGATCCGAACTGATCTAGCTGGAGTTACAACCCAATTATGGGCATTTTAAAAAAAATTTATTGTTTTTTTTCCCCCCACCGTTGTTAAGCGAATTCAAAGCAATGCAGTCGGATTTCAAGCAGGACTAGAACTCACTATCTCTAGGCAACTGGTTTGCACCAGTTCTAATGATCCAGTTGCGCCGGTCAGCAGTATTTAAAGTTACCCAATTGGTTTTCATGCCTAAGGGGGGGGAATAGAACTCACCGTCTCCTAGTGATTGGGCCAAACTTACCCACCCATTTTTCATGCCTACGACAGACTAGAATTACGTGTTTCTGGTGATTGGCCCAAACTCACCCAACTGCCTTTCACGCTAAAACTCCCAGTCTCCCGGTGATTGGCTCAAAGTGACGCATCCACCTTTCATGCCTACCATAGAACTAGAACTCCCCGTCTCCTAGTGATTGACTTAAAGTCACCCAGCCAGCTTTCATGCCTAAGGTGGAACTAGAACTCCCAGTCTCCTGGTGATTGGCCCCAAGTCCCCACTGGCTAACCCTCCCTTTTTCCTCTTCCCCCAACAGGCTTTGTCCTTTTCCTGTGTCTCGGGGTGCTGACCATGCTGCGCCCCAACATGTACTTCCTGGCACCCCTGCAGGAGAAAGTGGTTTTCGGGATGTTCTTCCTAGGTGCCGTGCTATGTCTCAGCTTCTCCTGGCTCTTCCACACCGTCTACTGCCATTCAGAGAAAGTGTCGCGGACGTTCTCCAAGTGAGTGTGCCCAGGTGGGGCTTCCCTAGGCCTGTGTTTTGGGGTTGCCTTTGTGTTCAGAGGTGGTCCTCAGTCCGCTTAGCGGTGGTTCCCCATCACAACATCGCTTGAAGGGGGTGGAAAGGCGACTCGGAGCCGTGTTTCAGACTTTCTGAGCATGGCAACTCAGACATTCGGCAGGCAGCTCGTCATTTACACAATCAAAATAAAGATTATTTTAAGTTTTTTCTCTCTCTCCCATTATAGGCTGGACTACTCGGGCATCGCCCTGCTGATTATGGGCAGTTTCGTCCCGTGGCTTTACTACTCCTTCTACTGCTCACCCCAGCCACGACTCATCTATCTCTCCATCGTCTGCGTCCTGGGCATCTCTGCCATTATCGTGGCCCAGTGGGATCGCTTCGCCACCCCCAAACACAGGCAGACTAGAGCAGGTATATTGTTTCAACTCCCAGAATCCCCCAGCCAGGAGGCTTTAAGAGGGGAGGGACTTCAACTCCCAGAACCCCTCATGCTTTAAGAGGGGAGGGCTCCGACTCCCAGAATCTCCTAGCCAGCCTGCTTTCAGAAGAATGGCCCTTCGAGCTAAGCTTTGATGCAAACCTTTTCCTCGCATACCTACGGGAGTCTCATTTCCTTCTCAGGCGTCTTCCTCGGGCTGGGCCTGAGTGGCGTGGTACCCACAATGCACTTCACCATCGCCGAGGGCTTCGCCAAGGCCACCACAGTGGGCCAGATGGGATGGTTCTTCCTGATGGCCGTGATGTACATTACCGGAGCTGGACTTTACGCAGCTCGTATTCCAGAAAGATTCTTCCCGGGCAAATTTGACATCTGGGTGAGGTTTTTTTTGCGGGGGGGGGGGGGGGTGGGTGATGGGAGTTGTAGTTCGACCAAAAAAACCCAGCAACATGGGCAGTTCTATATCTTATGACCAAAATGGAGCCTCTAATGGATGTCTTTTAAGTGAGAATTTATCTAGTTTCATCCCATCTTAAGGGAATCCCTATAAAAGTACTAATCTGGTCATTAAGTGAATCTGGTTTTTTTTTTAATCCGTGCTGTCATAAAACTTTGATCGGGGCATCGGAATGGTGATCATGTGATGTGGTCGTTAAGGTGAACATCCCTCAGAACTCTGACAAATGGTCGTTGGTATGAAAAATGCTTATAACTCACTTTTTTTTTCAGTGCTGGTATTATCAGGGGGTGGTATCTTTCAGACAAACCACGATACTCTCCATCTTGAATTGTCTTTTTGTCTTTCCAACAGTTCCAGTCCCATCAGATCTTTCACGTCCTGGTGGTGGCCGCAGCCTTCGTCCACTTCTATGGCGTCTCCAACCTGCAGGAGTTCCGGTACGGATTGGAAGGTGGCTGCACGGATGACTCGCTGCTCTGAGGATCATGAGAAAATGATCGCGGGAAAACGATCACAAAAGGTTCCCAAAGGGCTTTTCTGCCGGACTTTATCTTTCTCGACTTAAAACCTATAGTGTTTTTTTTTTTCTTAAATTAGAAACGAAACTCGACGCAACGTTGACCGCGCCTGGCGAGAAAGGAAAAGCGGGGTAGGCTTGTTCCTGAGGCCCCTCCGCGTTCTGAACGAGACCGTGCATGGCTCGTCAGATTCCTAGTTTGTCTCGCATGGCAGCGGTAACTCTGACAAGGAATTTCCCCAGGCTATCCCGCCGATATTTTGTCTTTCTCGACAAAATCACGTATGGCGAAAAGGAAAGTATTTAATATTTAAGAAGTTTTACAAGCGAGATGCTGCCCAGTCAGATTCCGCATCCTGACACGTTCGTCGAGGGAGCTGCGAGCCGGGCACAGGGTGGGATTCGGAGTTGCCGAGCTGCTGTGACTTTCGGTGTGGCAGTGATTGGAATAAACTATGGATGATGGGATAGTGGGGAATTGCCTCGAGGGAGGGTGGGGTCTCCAAGGTGTGCACGCATCTACACAATCCAAAATCTTGACGCCTGAAGATTTTGCTTCTGACGACATAGCCCTTTTGCCGGATTTTCCGTATCCCATCCAAGTCGCACATATTGATTTTTCCTGAGCGGCTGATTTGCTTTGCTGCGCAGAAAAGAGGGAGGAGGATTTGATGGGGGTTGAGTTTCTAACTTGCAAAACAGCACCTTTGTCAACAGGTTAAAAAAAGGTGGAGCAAAATTATGGTAAGATTGTTGCTGAAGTGACACAGATGTAGAAAGTTGCCGTGTCTCACAGTGCTTGTATCAGAAGAGCCCAGGCGGTTGTGAGAGCGAATTGTCCACTTGAACTGCTCTTGCCGGAGTAACCCTGCTTGGTCTTACTCCTACTCCATCCAACTTTCTCACCTGTGCTTGGTGGCTTTCTCAGAGACATTGCACTACCCAACTATGGAACATCCTTGGTGCTAGAAGGGAAGGGAGGTTGCTCTTTCTTTACAGTCCCTCAGGGGCCTCCTGCACCACGGCTGAGGGGTTCGCTTTCGTACTCCACGGGCTCCGGAGGCTTTTCCTTGGGCCTCTGGGAGAGCGGCCTCCACAGGCTCCGGAGGCTGGAAACGGGCCTGTTTCCGGCCTTCCCGAACTTCCAGGAGGCCCATTTTTTGCCTTCCACATGGGCCCTACACCTACTTGGCATCCAAAACGGGAGGGGCCAGCCAGTTGTCGTAACTGCTAGTTTGCCAAGCCAGCAATAAAATTTGCTACCATTTAGTTACTAGTTCACCCAAACCAGGCCAAATCGGTATGAGCCCACCCCCCTGAAGTCTCCTCTACAGTGCTGGGATTCAAAAAAATTACTACCGGTTCTGTGGGCGTGACTTGGTAGGCATGGTGTGTCTTAGTAAGGGTAGCAGGGAAAGGATACTGTAAAATCTCCATTTCCACTCCACTAACCTGCTTTCCAGCTCCGTTCTCCTGTGCAGGGCAACCAAAGGAGACCCAGTCGATCAGTGAGAGATGGGGTTGGTGGGGCCAGTCAGAGGTGGGATTTGCCGGTTCTCCGAACTATTCAAAATTTCTGCTACCGGTTCTCCAGAACTGATCAGAACCTGCTGAATACCACCTCTGCTCCTCTTGCACTGATGATGTTCTCTAGTTGGGTCGTAAAACATCTACAAGAAAAACATCCAAGCTCACAGAGCACTAAGGACTCAACAGTTGTCATCATCGTCTTCCTCCTCCTCCTCAAATCCTCCTCCATTCTAGCACTGATGGGTCATGAAATGTTTGTGAAAAATGGACCAAGCTCAGAGTACACCAGGGACCAGTTGTTCTCCACTCATTCCTCCTTTGCAAACTTTCCTAGTACTGAGGATGTTCCCCAGTTGGGTCTTGAAACATCTGTGAGAAAACAAACAACTTCAGAGAGACCAAGGATTCCACAGTTCTCCTATCTGCACACACCTCTCCTTTCTAGCACTGACGATGTTTCATAGGTGGGTCATGAAATGTCTCCAAGATAACCAGCCAGCTTCGAAAGCACCAAGGACCTATTGCAAACATTCTCGTCTTAGTATTTCTGACTTGGTTTGTTCAAATATTTCCTGGAGTTCCAGCTTCGTACTTTCCAAATGTATACAACTTGCCGCTTTCAGCTCTCCAGATTCTTGCAAGGACGTTGCACTTCATTGTATGAAGACCTATTAAGAGGGTGCAAGGTTTTTAGACGCAAATTGGAAAAGGGGCTGTGGAATATAGAGAGAGCACACAGTCCCGCCAAGAGAATAGCTGCTTTCATGAGCTTGAAACCAGGGCAGTTTGATTGAGATATAGCTGCTTTAATTAGCATTAAAGCCTTGTTGGATGTTAAGATGTAGCTGTTTAACAAGCTGCAAATTGGTGCTGGGTGGTTAAGATATAGCTGCTTTAATGAGCTCTGAGACAGTGCTGGTCTGTTGAGATGTTGCTACTTTAATGAGATTCAGATTGGTGCTAGATTATTGAGATGCAACTACTTTAATGAGCTGGGAATCAGTGTGGAATGTTGAGCTGTAGTTATTTTCATGAGCTTCCAACCAGTGCTAGGGTTTTTTTATACTTTAATCAGCTCCATACCAATGCTGGAGATTGAGATGCAACTGCTTGAATGAGCTTCAAACTAGTGCCGGATTGTTGAGATGTAGCTGCTTTTATGAGCTTCAAAGCAGGTGTTGAAATAGCAATAGCACTTATATACCGCTTTATAATGCTTTACAGCCCTATAAATGTTGAGATGCAGGTGCTTTCATAAGCATTAAAGCTGTGTTGGAAGTTGAGATGTAGCTGTTTTTAAAAAGCTGCAAAACCAGTGTTGGGTAGTTAAGATATAGCTCCTTTAATGAACTTGGAACCGTTGCTAGGTTGAGAAGTAGCTGGTTTAATAAGTATTAAAGTTGTGTTGGATGTTGAGATGCAGCTGTTTTTAAAAAGCTGCAAACCAGTGCTGGGTGTTTAAGATATAGCTGCTTTAATGAACTTGGAATCATTGAGAAGTAGCTGGTTTAATGAGCTGTGAGCCAGTGCTGGGCTGTTGTCATATAGCTGCTTGAATGAGCTTCCAGTCAACCAGGTTGTTGAGATGTAGCTGTTTTCATGGGCTTCTTATTGATTCTGAGGTGTTTAGATGCTTTAATGAGCTTTGGACCATCCCAGGTTGTTTAGATATAGTTACCTTAACGAGTATCAAAGCAGTGCTGGATGTCACTAAATGAACTATTGTAAGTTGAAGACTACCAAGACTTCTCGTTTAGGATTCCTTGGGAGACCAGAGAACAGAATAAAAACAGGTTTTGTGCTACTTCAGCACTGCCTAAACCAGTTGTCACCTTGTTGGTCCTTCTGAGGACCATTTGTGGTACACAAAACTTGGTACGCAGTGGCTTTTCTTAAAACCAAGCAACTTCAAAAAGTGTATGGACTCCGATTCCCAGCATTCCCCTTGCCAGCATGGGGAATTCTGGGAGTTGAAGTCCTGACAGTACTGGTTGGACAATTTTCTCGTCCCCCACGGTGCAATCATCCATTGCGTTGTCGGTTCGTTTGGGCCAAATCTCCGAATCTTTCCTAAAAAATGATAATTTTTTTTATCGCTGATGATAAAAGCTCTCCACCCTCCAGGCAGGACGTCAACTTGACTTCTCGGTCTTCTCTTTTGAAATTAAAGAACTAAAATCTGCTTTCCAAACAGTTCAAGCAGTCCTCAACGTCCAACCATTTCTTTACTGGCTATTTGAAGTTACGGCTGCATTGGAAAAAAAGTGGTTTGAGACCGGTCCTCGTGCTTACAACGATTACAGTATTCCCCATGGTCACGGGATCGATCTCCAGGCGCCTGGCGATGGCAGGTATTTGTGATGGTTGTAAGGTCCCAGATCAGTGCTCCATTGGAGAATGTGATTTATGGCATATCCTGTGAGGAGGCGGGAAATAGGCTTGTAGGTGGGCAGTAAATTACGTTGGGTAGAGCTGACTGACACCAATTTGCTTGGCAATGGGAAAATTCTAATCAGCGGTGTCCTAGCAGACATTTCATGACCAAACTAGGCAACATCTTCAGTGCAATCCTGTGAAAGTCTGATGCCAATTGTGGTAATTAACTCGAGGACTATTTACCCTTGTTCCCTGGACTTCCCCATATCGTGTTCGGATTTTGACTTTCGGCGTTCCATCTTGGGAGTCAGGAACGGAAATGGCTGACTTAAAAGGCTGTAAAAAGTTTTTCAGCGGAGCTCATCAATAAAAGTGCGATGTCGCACAAGTGCCCGGCCACAAATGTGCAAAAGATACATACGCCACAACTGGCAAGCAGGCAGCATCTGTTTGCAGTCATGAGACGAAATGTCCTGATATGTGAGTGGTCGTCTCGGGCTCTTCCTTTTGGCCAGCAAAAAGGGCTGCTGACGTTTCAAAACACCAGGCGGGCACAAAGTGCGTGTATTGTGTATGTTTGTGTCCCCCAGAAACACACAAGCACACCCCCTTCAGCAGAAGGCAATGCCCAGAATAAAAATACAATTTGATCCTGTGCGTAACTGGCCCTTTGCAAAAAATCATCCATCTCACAGTCTAAAGAAAAGCAAACTTTTTAATTTGGGGGGGGGGGTAACTTGCAGGAAAAGATGACATGCAAATATTCTGGAAGATGATGCTTGTAAAATCGCTACCTGAACGGCTCGGCTGATGCTAGCTATATATGTAGTCCTCGATTTACGACCGTTCATTTAGTGACCAACACGATGGCACTGAAACAACTGGCTTACATCTTCATTTTCACACTTAACCGTTGCAAAAATTCTCACAGTCACAAGATAAGAATTCGGCCACTTTTGCAACTGGCTCATGTTTATGACCCAATTTTCTGACCCTGACAAGCCGTCAGTTGGGGGTGGGGGAAGCCCAATCTGCTTAATGGGCGCACGAGCCGCTTAACCACCCTGATTTTGAAATAACCCTGATAAAACAGGTGGTCAAAATGGGGCAAAGTTCACTTTAAAACAGCTGCCTTGGCTTAATCACAGGCTCGATTGTGGTCGTTAGTCAAGGACTCCTATAAAGGACCTGGATAGAAAGATTTATGAATCTGGTGCTGTGGTGGCCTAGAGGTGGAGCTCTCACCTCACAATTAGGTAGCTGTGAGTTCGATCCTAGGTAGAGGCAGATATTTCTCTCTCTGGGCACACTGAGAATATATCTGCTGAACAAAACTCTGCGTTGGCAACAGGAAGGGCAGCCGGCCATGAAACTCTCCACTACATTAAATTGCCCAGAATCTGCCCTGCAAGAGATTACAGGATTGTTCAAAGATGATGATAGAAAGATTTCTAAAAACTATACTGGTGAGGCAACCCCCTTCTCCCCGAACAAAATGGTATTTAACAAAAAAAAACATAAAGGAGAGTTGGATTTTAAGGTAAGAGAGGGTAATAGAAGTAGCAACTCTATGTAATAACTTGAGCTATCAAGATATATATATATATATATATATTTATGAAAGGAACTAAAGTGATAGTTGGTGTAGAAATCTTATTAACACCACATTGTGGTAACGATTGGGATAATGTGGATTATTATGTAGGTGTAAATGTTCAATTATAAGAACAGATGCGTACCGCATATTTTTTTTCTTTTCTTCTTTTTTGGACAGAGATGATGTCCAAAACTTTTTCTTCTGCAGTTTGTAAACTAGCCAAGATTGTTAAAGAGATTTCTCAGCAATAAAAAAACAATCCTTTTTAAATTGCATTGTGTCTGTGTGCCGTTCTCATGACCCCTTGGCCGACAAGTCAGTTCTGCCCAAGGAATGTCTTTCAGCGAAGTTGGTTGCCAGAATGTTCAAGTTGCCCCCAATTTTATAACCATTCGAAATGCAAATGGCTTTGAAAAAAATATAATTTACAACTTGTCCCCACACTTGTTTCCCTTATTGTGTCTTGCCGAAGTAAATCAACAATTTGTAGCCTAGAACAGCGGTCGCCAACCGGTGGGCCGCAAGAAAATGTTGGTGAGCTGCAGAGAAATCTCACCCCCAGACCATCCCCCCCCCCCAAAGCAAATAATCCAGGCTGTGCAGAAACACAAAGCTGCGCCTCCCATGGGAACCCTTCCTTGCCCACTCACTCCTTCCTTACCCGGCAAACTTGCCTGTTAAATTGCTATTTTCCCTTTTTCCGACCATCATCTGTTCTGCTGTGCCGGGAGATTTAGATTAGCTAGGAAGCAGGAAATGGTTGGATTTCTTGCTTTCTAGCTAGTCTTTAGATCTTCGGCTCTGCTTTTAAGCACAGCCGAACCTCCCTTAGGACTGAAGGTTCTGTTATTCAGTGCAGACTCACGGCAAGCAAATTTGAGAGGCTGAGCTAGCCGATGGCAGATAGATAGATCACTGAATGATTCCGTGAGCAACTCAATCTGCCTGCCTGCTTTGCCTGATTTTGGGTAAAAGTTGCTCTTTTTTATTATAAAAAAATTCAATATTTATATAAATATAATATTTGCATACAAGCCATGCCCAGCCAGTCACATGACCACCAAGCCACACCCACAAATTAGGCCACACCCACAGAACAGTTAGTGATCCCTGGGATTTAAAATTGGTGGTCCCTGAGGTCCAAAAGGTTGGTGACTCCTGGCCTAGAATCTTGCCGAAGTAAAGCAACAATTTGTAGTGCTATTGATATTCAACAGGCCTTGACACCCAACAGCTCATCTGTTGGAAGTTACTGTTCGAAGTTACAACCGCCACAAAAAGTAACATGGTCATGGTCACATCATCAAAATTTGGACGTTTGGCATCTGACTCGTATTTATGACAGTTGTAGTGTCCCAGAGGTCATGTGATCCCCTTTTGCAACCTTCCAATGAGCAACGTTGATGCGGAAGACTAAGTCACTTAACGACCGAATGGCAAACTTCACGGACGCAGGGATTCGCTTAAGAACCGTGTGTGTCAGGATTCCGTTTTATAGTTGCCAACAGAAAGGGGAGGAGTTTGAAAGAGCAGTGCAGCAGTTTGGAATCGAAAGTGCATTCCACTCATATCTTGCAAAGACAATTAAGCAACTGGAGTTTCTGCCGTGCAAATGTCTAACTGGAGAGCATAATTGATGACTCTTGGCTACAGGCGTGTTTCGTTGAATATGAATTATGATGCACCCAGAGGGGTGGGGGGAAACCAGGGTCAAGGGTGACAGGGAATGATGTGTCTCAGAATTGGCTGTCAGGATTCCAGCAGTGGCCCTATTTCAAGACAAGCTTCAGAAGGATTTCCAGAGGATTTATTAGGAGCTAACCGCTAACGTGTCCGTATGACGTGACCTGTGCATAGCCGATTCTGAGACACGTCATTCACTGTCACCCTTGACCTTGGTTTCCCCCCAACCCTCTGGGCATATCATAATTCATATTCTCCAACAGAACACGTCCATAGCCTAGAGTCATCAATCATGTTCCTCAATTAAGAGACCTGCATGGCAGAAACTCATCTCTTAGTTATAACTATTCATATATAACAGATCAGACATCCAGCCCTTGCTTCTCAAGGGAGACCGAGTGGAGCAAGTGGCCAGTTTTAAGTTTCTGGGTGTTACCCTAAAAGAGGACCTGACCTGGGGGGGCGGGGGGGGGCTCACATTGCAGCCCTGGTCAAAAGGGCCCAGCAGAGATTATATTACCTGAGGCTTCTCAGGAAACAACCACTGAATGGAAAACTGCTGGTGACCTTCTACCGCTGCACCAGAGAGAGCATTTTAACCTTACTGCACCTCTGTCTGGTTTGCCAATTGCACCGTGGCAGATAGGACAGCCACTCCAGAGGGTGAAGGTCATTGCCCCTCAGAGGATCATGGGTTGCCCTCTCCCCTCTTTGGAAGAGCTTTATGGCTCCCGCTGCCTTAAGGAAGTTCAAAACATCCTCAAAGATCCATCTCATCCTGGGAACCCCCCCCTTTTTTTGAACTATTACCATCTGGCAGACGATACAAAATAATAAAAACAAGGGCAAATAGGCTGAAAAACAGCTTCTATCCCAGGGCAGGAGCTCTTTTGAATTCTGCTGTATAGTGCAATATTAATGCAATATCAGGGGTTTCCAATTCAATGTGTGGAGGGTGAAGGATGTGTGTTTGTGTTTATTTTCATGGTCATGATGTGCCCTGAAGATGGTGTTTGATTTCGTTGTTGTACAGGTGCAAGGACAATAAAAGTAAACTAATCTTTGTAAGATATGAATGGAATGCATTTTCAATTCCAAACTGCTTCACTGTTTTCGAACTCCTCCCCCGCTTTCTGTTGGCAACTACAAAACACTTTGAGTTCACACCGTGACAAAGGTCGTAAAACGAGGCAAAACTCAATCGTAATAAACAAGAATTAAAATTCAGAAGGAATAAAATGACAGGAATTGTTTGAACTCACAAAGAGGCAAAAATTTTATTGGGCACAGAATAAACGGGATTCATTCCGGCCTTTTCACTCGTAAATATAATACTGAATAATACTTTCCAAATATTTCTCAACTAAAATTTTAATTTTTAATCCTTTTTAACAAGTTCATGTTACTTCTGTTTTATTTTTCAATTAAAAATTTCTCCTACCTTTTCTGAGAAACTAAAAGGAACTTTGGTGGGGAATGATTTACAACTTCTAGATTTACCCAGAATTCTCGGCGGCGGTTGTACAGCCAGGGGAATTCTGGGAATTAAAATTGGGTGGGGTGGAATTATTAAAAGAGATTTTGATGGAGGAACTGAACAGAGATTTAAAGGTCTAAAGAAAATAAATTAAAGGTGCATATAGGGATGTTTAGGGAGGAGACGGGATACAGGCACCTAAGCCTTAAAAATTCTCATTTTTCTTTGCTTGAAATAGGATGTTGATTCTCAAACTTGGCACTTGAAGAGGGGAGGACTTCCAACTCCCAGAATCCCCCATCCAGCATCCTTTTAGGGAGTGAATTTCAGCGACCAGAATTAAAGCTTGCTAGCCAGGGGATTGTGAGAGTTGAAGTCCCATCTATTTTCAAGTCGATGAGATGCAGGACCTGCCAATCTTGACCAAGAGACGAATAGGGGGGGAAAATAAATGAAAAGCTCCATTTCAACTCAAGCTGGAATCCATCTCGCTGACAAACCATTGTTGACTTTGACTGATCAAGGCGTTTCTCTTCCATTTGCCCCGCAAAGGATCCCGACAGAATACTACACTCGGTGAAACCGAGTTACGAACCTGCCCGAAAAAGACCATTTCAAGTATGTTGTTTTTTTTTTCCACTCAAAATTCAGCCTCGAACCCCACCCTCCAAAAACACAATGGGGTGTCATCCCAAATTGTTAATTTTGGTACAACAATACTTCAAACGCCGGATCGTTTTCTCCCGACTGTTATTCTAAGCTCCGGCGGTGATGAGATTTTTAATCGCACAAGTTCCCGGGCCATTAATCCGTTTCCTTTCCCGAGAAAAATCCTTTGGGAACACTGCAGTAATTTAGATTATCTTTATATCTGAAAAATAAGACCCAATTGGAAAATAAGCCCTAGCCTATTTCAGGATGCTTCTAATATAAGTCCTACCCCAAAAATTAACCCGTTAAGATGGTCAGCCAGAGGAACACATTTGGAACCGTATTTTCCTGAAAATAAGACCTAACCAGAAAATAATGTGTTTACGAGAAAGTTTGTTGCAAAATCTGCCAACGTCGTTCCCGTGATAGAAAAATTTGGGGAAAAAATGGGAATTGCAGACTAAGGTGGAGTGTGGAACAATTCAATGGATCCAGGCCCAATTTAGGCGGCGAAGAAAAAAAAAAAGAACCCATTCTCGTTTTTGAGGAATACTTGTTGCAACCAGCAGTCGAAAGTTGCGTTTCTCAAGCACGGCCCCTTTTAAGACAGGAGCCGAGCTTGTGAAATACCTCCGCTGTCAGGGTAGAAAAAGGGTAGAAACACAACGGCATTTGCCAAGGCATCAAAAGGGGGGTGGGGGAAAATTGTGGAAATTTTGCATCCTGCCGGGAAGATTGCATCTTCTCCGCCTCGCTGTGGTGGCGGCCTGTCACTGCACTGAGCATACGTCCAAAATGCAGAATTTGGCTCGGCAGGTGGGACAAGGCACGTGGCTGGAGAGCCAGGTCTCTGGGTGCTGCTGGTCCTGCTGGCTGGCGAACCATTTGCCCATACACAGCAGGCACCACATGGGGTAGCAGAAACACGGCTGGCATTCGCCCTCATGGAGCTCCCGGCAATTCTTCAGTAACTTGACGTTGGCCCGGGACTGCATGCAGCCAATGCAGAGGTCCAACTCCTGTGGAGGGAGGGAGCAGTAAGATCATTAGAGATGGTCGAAGCTGGGTGGTTTCCTTGCAGACGTCTCATGACCCAACTAGGTAGCGCCACCAGGGCTAGAAGGGGAAGAGGAGATGGTTTTCTTATGGACATTACATGACCCAACTAGGGAACGTCATCAATGCTGGGAGGGAGTGGGGTTTGTGGAGAGGAAGAGCAGGAGGACTGTGGGATCCTTGGCGCTCTCCGAATTTGGGGTTTTCTTACAGACGTTCCATGACCCAACTAGGGAACGTCATCAGTTTGAGAAAGGAGGAAGGAAAAGGAGGGAAGAAAGCAGGACTGTGGGGTCCTTGAGTTGGGTGGTTTCCTTGCAGACATCTCATGACCCAACGAAGGAACAGCATCAGGGGAGGAAGGGAGGAAAGAAAAAGGAGGGAGAGAGGAAGGAAGAAAGGAAGGAGAGGGAAAGGAGAGGGAGGGAAGGAAGAAAGGAGAGGGAAAGGAGGAGAACTGTGGGGTCCTTGGTGCTCCCTGAACATGGTTTCCTTGCAAACATTTCATAACCCAACAAGCGAACATCATCAGGGAAGGAAGTGAGAGAGGGAGGGAACTGTGGGGTCCTTGGTCTTCTCCCAGCTTGGGGGTTTTGTTACAGACATCTCATGACCCAACTAGGCAACGCCATCCATGGCAGAGAGGACTGTGCATAAGCAGAGAGCAAATCCCCACTTCCCATCTGGCAATGATGACGGCTTCCTTTTATGCCCAAATCGATCGTAAGCCAGGAATGACCAACCAGCCATCCCGTTGTCGGATGCCGGACAGAAAAACTCACCTGGTTGCTGGGAACCAGGTATGGCGGGTTTCTCTCCACCAGGGAGCTGAAGGTCTCCAGGAAGAGGTCGCTCAGGCTCTGATGGATGACCACATTGGCCCCGTTCTGGATGGGGGCGCGGAGCTTGTCCTGCATTTCCCCGTATTCCGACGAGTTGAGCCTGTTGGGAAAAAACAAAGGTCAGGTCCAGATTTTGGGAACGAACGAAGTTGGATTCCAAAACAGACGATAAACCAGCCTATTTCTTTAGAACCCAAATGGTTCCTGACTTATGACGGTTGATTTACTGACCGTGCCAAGTTACAACAGCCCTGGGAGGAAAAAAGAGCCTTTCTCCACCCACAGTTACGGGATTTACATTTGACGGTTGGAATGTCCTGGGTTTTCTATGATCCCCTTTTGTTGATGAGGAAGGCCGATTCACTTAACAACCGTATGATTCATTTAAGGACATGATCCACTCAACCAAGGTGGGGAGAAATGCCGCAAAATGGGACAAAAGTCACTGAACACATTTCTCACCTAGCATGACAATTGCGGTCGTATGTTGAAGACTAGCGCCAAATAAAATACAGCTCATCCTCAACTTACGACCACAACAAAGCCCCGAAATTTCCATCGCTAAGCAAGATATTTGTGAAGCGAGCTCTGCCCTTCTGGAAGGCCTCTCTCGCCACAGGAGTTAAGTGAATCTCTGCAGTCAAGTCGAACGGTTGTTAAGTGAAGCTAGCTTCGACTTTGCTGGTCAGAAGGTTGCAAAAAGGGATCGCGTGACCCAAGGAGGGAGGCTGCAACCGTCGTAAATATGAAATCAGTGACCAAAGCTCTGAATTTTGATCACGTGACCGAATTTGTGATTAAAACCTGCAGGGATTCACTGAACGACCAATTCATTTTTGCGACCTTCTCGCCAAGCAAACTCGGGGGGGGGGGGGGAGCCATATTTCCTTCACGACCGTGTGATGAAACAGTGGCCAGGATTGATTTAAAAACCGGTTCATAACTCTTAAGAACCAGTTGTGAACTGGTAAGAATGGCCGGCAAACAGGGCGCAACTCAACGCGCCGCAAAGCAGAAATTTTCAGGCCATAAAATCGAGGATTCAACAGAAACAGCCTTCCAGACTGCTAAACCGCATAGGCTCCAGGTTCAAATGCACTGCTCTGCCCCACGCGGAAACAAGATGCTGGGGACAAGCGTTACCGGATGTCAAAGGCCTTCACGCGGGGATCGGCGCTGGCCACGCGGATGGTGAGGAACTGTGCCGGCCTGTTGACGTCCAGCAAGAGGTCCTGCTGCCTAGAGTCTATGACGGTCAGCTGGAGGTCCCGTTGCAGCGCCGCGTGGAAAGAGTAGGTGGTGACTTTGAGGATCCAGCTGTCGGTCACGATCAGGCGGGCGCCCGGCGGCCCCGTGGCAAACTTGTCAATCCGGCGGAATTCGGTATTGATGGACAAGGCCACGGCCCGCCAGTTGGCATGGGGCGGCAAAGCAAAGGCAGAGAGGGTCCTGGCCAGCGGGTGGCGGGACCAACCATCCCGCGACCAGTAGTAGGCGAAGGTGACCGCGAGGACCAGGAGGAGGAGAGCACTGGCGAAGAAGACTTTCCAAGGCTCGGGCGCCTGGGAGATGGCGAAGAGCTGTTTTTCGGGCGCCGCAAGACCCATGCCCAGGTAGTAGCCTGGGGAAGAGTGAGAGGTTGTTCTTTCTTTCTATTTCTTTCTTATTTCTTCTTTTGTTCCTTTTCTTTCCTCCAGCTTATTTCCTTCTTTCCCTTCCTGTCTTTTTCCTTTCCTTCCTCCTTGTCTTTTCTCTTTCACCTTCGCGTTATTTTTGCTGTTCTGCCTTTCTCCTTCATTTCTTCCTTCCTTTTCACTCCTGCCTTCTTCCCAACCTATTTCCTTCATTCCCTCTTTCTTTTTCTCTTCCCTTCCTTCCGGTTTTATTTTGCTATCCTGCCTTTCTCCTTCTTTCCTCTTTCTTTCCTTCCTTCCCCCTTCTCCCCTCCCTTTCTCTTCCTCTCCTTCCTTCCTTCCTTCCTAACTCTTCCCCCCTCCCTTTCTCCTCCTCCCCTTCCTTCCTCTTCCCCCTTGCTTTCGGCTCCTCTCCTCCCTTTCTCCTCCTCTCCTTCCTTTCTTCCTCTCCTTCCTCTTCCCGCTCCTCTTCTCCTTCCTTTGTTCCTTCCTCTCCTTCCTCCCTCCTTCCCCTCCCTTTCTCCTCTCCTTCCTTCCTCCCCTTCCCCCTCCTTCTCTTCTCCTTCCTCTCCCCCTTTCTCCTCTTTTCTCCCCTTTCCTTCCTTTTTTCCTCCCTCCCTCCTCCCCCCTTTCTCCTCCTCTCCTTCCTTTTTCTTCCTCCCTTCCTCCCTTTTTCTTCCTTCCCTCCCTTTCTCCTCCTCTTCCTCCCCTCCCCCAGCTGAATGGCGGGATCCAGACCCAGATCCTGAGTCTTCCCCTTCTACCCTCCCCACCTGGGGGCTCCCCCTTCTTTCACACTCCCTTCCCTGCACCCCGTTTCTAGGGGGGTCTCCCCTTCCCCTTTCTCCTTCCCCCGATCCTGCACCCCCTTTCTTGGGGGGAGTCTTCCCTCCCTCTCCCTTTTTGCGGGGGCGCCTATCCCCTCCCCTGGGTCTCCCCCCTCCCCTTCTCCTTCCCCCGATCCTGCACCCCCTTTCTCGGGGGGGGGGAATCTTCCCTTCCCACTCCCTTGGGTCTCCCCTTTCTCCCCCCCCCCCCTTTTTTGGGGGGGTCCTCCCCCCCCTCCAGACTCAGAGCCAGCCCCCCCCCCTCTGCCCGCTCCCCCGGGCAGCCCCTCACCCAGGGGCAGGGCGGCGTGGGCCACGAGGGTCACGGTGCCCCGCCGCAGGTGGTAGTGGACGAAGGCCACGTCCTCGCTGCCCAGCCAGCTGCCCAGCAGGTTCTGCACCGTCAGGCCGGCCAGGTGGAACTCGCTGGGCGGGAAGACGAAGCAGACGGCCAGCACCAGGTAGGCCAGCGTGAAGGTGGTCGCCGTGGGGGTCTCCATGGAGCCCCTCAAAAGCGCCCCCCGCCCCTTCCTCCTCCTCCTCCTCCTGCCGCCGCTCTCAGCCGAGTCCTCCTCCGGCGGAAGCCCCGCCCACTTAGGCCTCGCTGGAAGGAGAACTCTGGGAGTTGAAGCCCCGCCCACTTAGGCCTCGCTGGAAGTAGGGCGCGGGGAACACTGGGAGTTGAAGTTCGCCTCCGAGTCCCTAGGCCGGCGGAAGCCCGGCCCACTTAAGCCCCGCGCCAGGATCTCCGGGAGTTGAAGTCCCGCCTCATCCACGGAGTCCCCAGGCTGGATGATAAAGAACTCTGGGGAATCCCGCCTCCCCCACCTCCGGCAGCTCTTTCCTGCGACCATTTTTTTTCCGCGTGGGAACTCTGGGAGTTGAAGTCCTTCTGCCTCTTCCGCTTGCCCAGCTCTTCCTAACAGAATCACAATCACAGATTGACAGGGTTGGAAGGATACCTCGGAGTCATCTAGTCCAACCCCCTGCTCAAGCAGGACAAGCTTGACAGAAGCGTAGAATGACAGCTTCCAGCTTTCTTGCAAATTTACCCCACGGAAGTTATTTGTGGCGTATACCTTTCACAATACAGCCAGGCCTCGACTTAACGACTGTTCGTTTAGCAACCGTTCCAAGTTCCCAAAAACAAGGACCCGCTTTTGTGCATGACTTGTCACGCTAGCACCCCCCCCCTCCATATGATCAACGTTGGCGGCAGACTCATCTTTACGACGGTTGCAGCGACCTGTATGCGTGTCACATGTTCTCCTTTTGTGACCTCACCAGCTAAGTCCACGGGAAAGCCAGATTCGCTTAACGACCATGTTCCTAACTCTTAACAAAGACAGTCATCTCTTTTAACACTTGTCCAGCAAAGTCATCAAATTTGCTTGGAATGTCTCACTCAGTGACAGAAATGTGGATTTCAATTGTTGGCCGTTAGTTGAGGATATCATGAAAAGAAATTTCTTGCAGGAATCTCCTGGGCTCGCATATAGGGAAGCAACCCTGCTGCAGCTGGAGTTTTTTTCTTCCCCTCCGTCCACTATATCTTTATAAACCTTGGCTCTCCTGGTGGTCTCCCATCCCAAAGTATCAAAAATCTTCTTTCCAGAATTAGTTCCCCTCTGGGCCAAGTTTCAATCCTGATTTTCAACTCAGATGAGTCCTCAGCTTATAAGCATTTGATTTTGGGACCATTCAAAGTGCCAACAGGGGCAGAACGAAGTGAGATACAACCATCGTAACATCCAAATTTGGAGCTTGGCAACTGACTTGTATTTATGACAGTTGCGGCATCACTGGGGGTGGGAGGCTCATGGGATCCCCTTTTGTGACCTTCCGACAAGCCGGAAGCCCAGATTTGCTTACCGGTCATGTTCCGAACAGAACAACGGGCAGCGATTCACTTAACAACAGTGGCAAGAAAAGCTTGTGAAATGAAGGCAAAGCTCACTTTTAACAACCGTCCGGCTTAGTGGCAGAAATTTGGAAGATTCAATGGTGGTCACAAATTGATGGCTATACCAATAGGAGGTATATTTCTATCTGCTACTATTATTTTTCTTGCTTATTAGTTTAGTTTACTTTTATTGTCTTTGCACCTCGTACAACGAAATCAAACACCATCTTCAGTGCACATCATGACCATGAAAATAAACACAAACACACATCCTTCACCCTTCACACATTGAACCGGAAACCCCCTACACCAGGGATCCCCAACCTTTTCGACGCCGCGGCCCGGTTCCGACATCAGCTGGGCGCCGCGGCCCGGTACCGGCGTCAACTGGGCGCCGCCATCTTTTTATGACGAAAAGGCGCTTCCGGTGAGCTCACCGGAAGCGCTGTCGCGGCCATCATTTAATGACGAAACAGCGCTTCCGGTGAGCTTTCCAAAAAAAAGATGGCGGCGCCCAGCAACCAGCGGCCCGGTAAGGCTTGTTCCGCGGCCCGGTACCGGTCCGCGGACCGGCGGTTGGGGACCCCTGCCCTACACCACACCAACACTGCACTATACAGCAGAATTCAAAAGAGCTCCTGCCCTGGGATAGATGCTGTTTTTCAGCCTACTTGTCCTTGTTTTTATTATTTTGTATCGTCTGCCAGATGGTAATAGTTCAAAAAAAGGGGTTCCCAGGATGAGATGGATCTTTGAGAATGTTTTGAACTTCCTTAAGGCAGCGGGAGCTATAAAGCTCTTCCAAAGAGGGGAGAGGGCAACCAATGATCTTCTGCGCAATGACACAGCAAACCTTCTTGCCACAGCTCGCATCGATGTGCCATCCTGGATGAGCTGCACTACCTGAGCCACTTGTGTGGGTTGCAGACTCCGTCTCATGCTACCACTAGAGTGAAAGCACCGCCAGCATTCAAAAATGACCAAACCATCAGCCAGAAAGCATAGGAACTGAGAAGTGGTCTGTGGTCACCACCTGCAGAATCACTCCTTTATTGGGGATGTCTTGCTAACTGCCTCTGCTTTCCACCTGTTGTCTATTCCATTTGCACAACAGCATGTGAAATTGAGTGTCAATCAGTGTTGCTACCTAACTGGACAGTTTGATTTCACAGAAGTGTGATTGACTTGGAGTTATATTGTGTTGTTTAAGTGTTCCCTTTATTTATTTTTTGAGCAGTGTATATTTACATATATAAAAGTGAAATACTCTAAGAAATAAAACAATTCAAAAATAAAATGTAGGTGAAGAGAATAGTACAGTATATTATAGCATTAAGAAGACAGTTGCTCTATAGACCTTTGATGTAATCCTGCTGTAAATATATTTTCTAATGCATTTACTCATTGTTAAATTACATCCTCCTGTATCAGGTAAATTACATCCTCCTGTATCAGGTAATGCCACCCTATTTCCTCCAGGAATTGGTACCTATCTCAAACTGTCAAGGCAATTCACATACACGTTTGACATAACAAAGACCAAAGTGATCAATTAGGACAATAGGAGAAGAGATAATAAAAGATAAAACATTACTCTAACTTCCTTGAACAATTGAAGTTAGATTTTGTTTTTCAAAGCATCTGCTTAAATTTAATCTTGGCACATTGTGATTTTAAGTTATAACCAGACCTTTACTTTGCATAGGTGAATATGTTAGAGATGCATATAATCATTAAGTTGTACTAAGATGGCTGGAGAGAAGATGTGTTGAATGTGTGTTACTGTGTGGTGTTAGGAAATAGATATTTCTTTGTTAGAAAGAGGCCCTGCTGAAGAGATATTCCTTAATGCCAAGTAAGATAAGAAAAAGCCATGTTGACAAAAAATGGGAGGTCATTGGGAGGTATCAAAGGAGATGATGTGGTCTCCATAAGGCATTTCGGATTATCTGTGTTCAGTCACTGGGTCGATGTAGAAGGGGCGTGGGGGAGTTGGGAAAAAACTATAAAATGTAATGTTTTGAAATCTTGCAGTGTGGGTCTTGGCTCGAACTTCATGTTGAGTTAAGCTAAGATCTAACCGCTCTTTGCAAACAGCTTTTGTTCTTCATTTTGTTGGCTTTGATTTAAGCTTGCAAATAAATTCTTTGTGTTTTCACTGATCCAAGTTTTTCTTATTTGGAGTCATTTCCAACAATACCCCTCATGCATCATCACAAAATCTCCAGAACCGTAAAGCCTACAAACTTGACATTTGGCACCTATGTTCTTCTTGGCTTCTAGGGGCTAAGCAAGGATTTTTCAAAAGGACCATCGGAGCATTTGGAGTATTTCCTGTGTTATTATTATTAACACGCTCTGATCCTAAGGAGTTCTACTCCCCTTCCCCACCTAAAAAGAAACCTCTTCCAAATGCAAAACACAGAGGAGTTTCAGTTTCACAGCACCAAGCACCTTTAGTCCAGAACAGTTGAGCTAAGCCACGCCCAGGCTCCTTGCTGTCTCTTTGCTCACACAGCAAATATGGTTTCAGTTTCCAAACAGCCCTCCACTCTCACACGCTGACAGGATACTAGCCAGATGAATGCCGATGGATGCTAGTAGGCAGAGGCGGAATTCCCACCCCACTTATTTTCCGCCCCAAAAACTAAGCCCGACCACATGGTTTCATAGCGAAGCGTGGGTATCCAGCTAGTCTCTAATCTTTCTAATACCTTTTTTTCAGGGGTTTTAAGAGTTAGTAAATCCAGGATGGAGCAAAGCAATTAAGTTTTCAAGAGGTTGATTTATTAATTTTAAGCATGCACGTCTCCAACACATTATTTTTCAGGGCGATGCACACACAAACATTTCTTTTATTTCCTGCATTGTGACGCTGGGTACGGGGTTGTGCGGTCAGCTTCCGGAAGACGGCTTCTGCAAGGACGGAAAATCACCCTCACTTTTAGAAGTCGGGACGGTCTTTCTGCAACTTGCTGTAATCCATGTTGACAGAAATAAACTGGAGGGGGGGGAATAAGAATTATGAAGAGAAACATTCCAGTTTTTCCAAAAAAAAAGATGTGAAAGAAATGAGGGGAAAAAACATGAAAAGCCAGCTGGGTGACTTTGGGCCAATCACCAGGAAACAAGGAGTTCTAGTCCCACCTTAGGCATGAAAGACAGCTGGGTGAC